CGCATTAAACATGGCTATGCGTTAAGTAGTATTGGAAATATGGATGAAACTCCAATGAATTTTGATATGGTTGGAAATAAAACTGTCCATCAAAAAGGTGAAAAAACAATTTTAATTAAAACAACAGGACATGAGAAGTCCAGTTTTACAGTGGTACTAGGATGCACAGCTGATGGTGCCAAACTGAGACCAATGATTATTTTTAAAAGAAAAACAATGCCGAAACTCAAGTTCCCTGTTGGTTGTTTTGTACATGTGAATGAAAAAGGCTGGATGGATGAAGAAGGGGTAAAGCTATGGCTTGATAATGTATGGAGCAGGCGACCAGGTGGACTTCTTCAAAAACGTAGTCTACTGGTGTGGGATATGTTCAGGGCTCATTTAACTCCCAGCACCAAGCAGAGGCTTGCAAGAATAAACACAGATGCGGCAGTTATTCCTGCAGGATTGACATCGTTGGTACAGCCACTGGATGTGTGCCTAAACAAGCCATTTAAAGATCGCATTCGAGAACAGTGGAATGAATGGATGGTTAGCGGCGAAAAGTCATTCACAAAAGGAGGAAACATGCGTGCTCCACAGTTGGATGTTTTGTGCAAGTTTGTCATAAAAGCCTGGAATGATATTGATGCAGAAACAGTAATCAAGTCTTTCAAGAAGTGTGGCATATCAAATTCATTAGATGGTATGGAGGATGACTACTTGTGGCAAGATGAAGAGGAAGCTGAAGCTGAGACCACACCATCTGATACGGAATTCGATCCATATGATGACTGCCTTACAAATGTACCACAAGATGTCATTGATATTTTTATGATATCAGATGATGAACAGGATGATTTTGAAGGCTTTTAAAGGGAAACTGTCACGCAAGCAAAACCTGTAAAAATAGCTTGCAGTTATGATGGGCGTTGCTGACTTGACTTGCCCGGCACTTGCTCTTTCTATTGTTTTTTATCTTCCTCCTATCATCATCAGTTCAGTTTGGTTGACAGCTTAGAAAACAAACAGCATGGCAGCTCCCATGGTTTTATTGTCTTATCCTTCCTTTCAGCTTTAGAGTGAATTAGGAAAAGTTTAATCCACTTGCACTGTTTTATGTTTATATGTTTGATGACAGCCTTATGTTTATAAATGACAGTTTTTCTGCTAAGTACCTGCATGTCATAAGCATTTGAATTAAAATTACCATATTGAAATCAAATCTGATGTTTTTTAATTTTTATTTGGTGTGCGTTGGAAGAGGGGTAGTCTTATACGGTGAGTATAGCCCAAACTCTATATTTTAACTGGAAAAGTTGGGGGTCGTCTTATACGCCCAGTCGTCTTATACGCCGGAAAATACGGTAGTCAAACTATTCACATTCTTAGTTTGGCTATTTCAACCCCAAGAAAACTGAGAGGTTCCCTTTATTTTTAAAAATAACTTCCCTTTCCCTCTCCAAAGTCCTAGGAGAAAAAACAGAATTCCCATTTATTTTTATAACGTCTGATTTACAAACAAAGGTTGCTTATTTACTACTGGATTTCTCTGAAATTTAACCTGTACTAACTACAAATATGACAGATGTAATACTGCATGGTCAGAGTTTGCTTGTGCTATAATTACCAGCTTTTTATTCAATTGCTGGCAGCAAAGTTATTACCACAGTATTTTATGTTATTTAAGAAAACATGAAAAGCTTCCAACTTAATTTTATGCCAAGGAATTTTTAAGCATCTTTTCTATCCAGTTTCATATTAGAATGCTTGAAGAATCAAGATACGTGATTATGTAGTTTTGTGGACCTTGAACATGGAATATTCAATGTTTTCTGAGAATTTGCACATGTGTGTGCACTAAGATGGTATTGGTAAGTGGTTCTGATAAAGAGACATGTGGCCAGGTGGCCAAGTTATTTTCTAGCATAAAGAAGCCCTGCCCCCTCTCTTCTACTTCCCATATATAGTTTTAGTTATTTAGCTGCGAGCCAAGGTTGAGTGAGCACTAGTTGGAAGCTGGACCACAGACCCTAAAAGTTGGAAAATACACAACTATAAGCATACCCATGAAACCTTCTTTATAACTGCACCATGTATCATTCTGGCTTTATCAGGCATTTTGCACTCTGAAATAAATATTTTACTCCAATTCATATTTTTTAGCTTTAGTATTAATTCTTTGTTTGGGATACCCAAGTATTACAAAAATGACAAATCAATATTTTACTGATATGATATTTATTGCAAGTTTTAAAAATGGAATGCCAATTCTTTTTTTTTTTTTGATAGATTTTTTTAACAGCAAAAAAAAAAGTTTGCTTGATTTTTATTTTTCTTCTCTCCACCACTGGCTTGTTACTACAGTGGTACAAAGAAGACACACTGAATTTATTATCTGGCCACAGAAACAATAACTTGTGCATAGCTAAGGCTGATGATACCCACAATTTTTCACCCTCTTACTCCTTCTCCTCCTTTCCCTAGTTTGGCAAGGCAGCACACAGTAAGGTTGGATAAGGAGCAGAGAACTTGTTCGTCTCTGCTGCGGGGAAGGCTACAATGGAACTTGTTAGCTTTATTTATTAAATGTAAATGCCACCCATCTCCCTCTCAATTGATTCTGGGCAACTTGCAATAATGTAAGCTTTAGTTACCCTTGTGGTTGTTGCCTTGAATTCCCACTTTTGTTGGGGAAGGAGAGCTTTTGTCTTTGGATAAAATTACTTTTGTAATTTCCTTATACCAAGACAGCCAACTTAAGACAAAGAGAGAGTTTAGCAGAGACTAAAAGTGTTTCCTACTGTAGACTGATATTTTTATTATCAATTTTTTGCAAATCATTTGGTCATTTTTTTCTAAAATAGAAGGTACTGCTGACAAATTATTGTATATATTACTGAAGACAAACAGATGTATCAAAATTTGATACCGTAAGTGACACTGAAGAATCCTGAAATATTCTTACAAAAGTAATTATGGGACAACAGAATAGGTTTCTGTGTTTGCTTCAGAATTTCTTTATATATTTGTGACAGTATAGGCTGGCTAAGTGTTTACAAGTAATATCGGGCTGGTAAAAGTGTAGCAGTGAAAATTAATAATATGTAATATTGGTGATACATTTTTATCTAAGTGAAAAATCTTTTATTGCTTACTTTTCCATGTCTATTTTATTTGCCTAGTTACCAGTTTGGATTTTTTTGATCAATCTAAATTCCATAGTTTTTAATCAATTGTAAATTATAATTAAATTGAAAAGAGAGTGAAAAAATCTTATTCACTGAGATATTTAATCTCATCTAAAGATTCACTTGTCTGCTACCCTGCACCAGCTCATTTCACCCAATATAAACTAGATTTGCAAAGAACACAGATATATACATGTGTATGGACACATACACATGTACATTTGAACAAGATTGTCATTGTAAAATTGATAGCTTATCTGTAGAACTTGCTTATAAAACAAAACCTCCTCAAAATATTTAAAACCTATTTTAAAAATGGAAGCAAGATAAAATACTAAACATATCTCATACAGAACAGCAATTTATTTCATCCAATGAAGGAATAAGTTAATGCAGTACAATTGAACTAGAATATATTTATAGAGCTTAATGTTTGCTGCAAAGCTTATTTTGTTATTGGAAAAAAATTGCAAGTAACAGGAGATTGTTTCTATGATTCTTGCATTTTGAGGCAAAATGAAGCCAAATTTTATTTGGGATTTAGTTTGTTACATATAATAATGGCTATAAAACTTGGCTGCGATACAAGGGAAAAGCTGAAATCATTCCCAGCAATGATGCATGAACTCTACAAAAACTTTTCGCATTTTTATTCTGAGGCAGTCATTTCTAGACTGATTTAGCAGGGCTTTTTATAATTTTTATATTTGAATAAATATGCAGCTGTTATTCTACTTATGGGGATTAGATACTGGATAATAAATGTTTCTGTGTCCAGAGCAGTTGGTAGCATATAGCAACTTTACCTTATCTGATCACAAAAAAACCTAGTTTTCTTCAGGCTGTATGCTAAATAGAAATCAAAATAAATAAAAACCCAGAAAAATCTGTGCCAAGTTATTTATGAATTATTTCCAAGGAAATAATTGTAATAACTGTAGATGTATGTGTCCTTATACTCATCAGGAGTCAATTTCAACTCAAGGGAGCTTACCTTTTAAAGATCTATGATATGTATTCTAATAATATTCTGTTAATTGAGAAAAATCAGTTATGGGAAAAGTCAAGTTGTCCCAAATTACTGAAGCAAAATAGTTAAGCATGTGTTCCCTGTTGAAAGCACTTCATTTATCTAAACTTGTACATGGTAACATTGTTAGAAGAATGCATATTTCAACTGGTAACTCTGAAAAACAATTATTATGTATAAATCGTATCAGGAATATTTATACAACTAAATAAACTTATAGCCAAAATCACAGAAAGAAGATAATGAAATTGTATGGGATATGCATGGATTACAAAATGTAGCTTGGACCTTTGACCGCAATATGAAAACAGCCAATTTCATTCCAAACCAATATGGAGACTATCAGATATAATTTTCAGCTAAGACAAATGTATTCAGCTAAATCTCCCGCTATTATTTAAATTTGTAAGCAAAGATGTTTGAGAGCATAAAACCTGGCTAATTTCCAAAAGTAGGTACACGGGTCTTCATGTCAGGCACATTAAATCAATTTTGTTTTTTAAATTTTAGAGTTCAATAACAAAGCATATTTGCACTTTGTGAAAGGAACTTGACAAAGTACATAAACAGGTGCAGGAAATTTATATACAATAAGTGTAGCTTTTAGAATTTAGGAATAAAGTTAGCAACAAAAGCATTTTTTAGTAAATTTATAATTATTTCAAGGTACAGGCAGATACCAGAGACCGCAACCATGATTTCCATCAAAATAAAATTTAAACTTTTATTATAATTAGTTAATTAACTGGATCATAATTAATTTTAAATTACTGTTCATAAGAAGTTTTCTTTATACTTACAATTGGACTTGCGTTGATGTAGTCTGAATTGTCATGACTATTTTCAGCTTTCAAACATATCCTGCAATGATCATCTTGCCCCCACCCCCCAAAAACATATAGTTATTTATACTGTGTTTATATGAATAGATTAAAATATGCATATTAAAATAGCTATTTCAAAGATTAAACTCAAAAAGAAAAATATTTTTTTAGCTGAAGAGAGAAATATCATATACTCGAGCTTCAGCATACTTGCTTTTAAACACAGAATTTTCTGTGATTATTTTAGATAAAGCCTGAAACAAAACATTCTGTTAAAATAAAAACAGAAATAAAAACGCCATATTGGAGTATGATATCAACCCATCTGCTTTACAGAGCTGACTTATTTCCTTCCTTCTCTTATTTGTTAAACTGAGATCCCACTTTTTCTCCAGGACAGAGGTAAGTGAGGATTCCCTTCATTTTATTCCTGCAACAATAACCCTGTGAGATACCGTATGTTGGGCAGAAAGAAAATTACTGGCCCAAAATCATTCAGCTAACTAAAAACCAGGTTTCTTCCATCCTAATTCAATACCTTAAAAATTAAACAATTAAGATATTGTAATGAAATGTATAAATGACCTTGAGGAACAAGAGGAAGAGATGCTGCCTAGGAAACAATAGGAGAATACAGACAGGAACCCTCATTAGTTTAAAGTCAAAGAAAGAAACTTAGGAAGGATCCACCCTGATGAATCAAGCACTTAAAAGTGGAAAGTGGAAGTTTATAATTTCATACTTACAAGACTTGATAATATAGCCTTATAATAAAGTAGAATAAATTCATGTAGTTGTGTTTCCTGCCTGGTTTACCTGGGAGGACTGATCCAACTTGCAAGTCTAAAAGTACAACCTTGATCCATTAGTGTGGGTCCTTCCTTACATTTCTTTCTCTGCCTATTTAAACCACTGGGGCTTCCTGCCTCTCTTATCTGATTGCTTTCCAGGCAGCAACTCTTCCCCTTGTTCACCAAGAGTCACTCACCCATTCCATTACAGATATTTTCTATTCCTATGGTATCTCAAGCTCACTGAACAATTGGTTAGAGAAAATAAGAATAGTATCAGGTTGTTAATCTACATGCCAGTACTGCTCACTGGATGGAGCTGTCAAATAGCATGACTATAATGCAAAAGCAAGATAATACATGACAATCAGAAGCATTGAAACAGACCATTTTAGTAAATGTTTCATATAAACATATGCTAAAAGAGTAAGATCTCTTTTCTCAAGCATCTACAACACACCTCTGACTTTCCTGATGTTGCTAACTAATCACCAAAAAAAAAAAAAAAATTCACTTTCATTAGTTATGCTGTCTGGAGTTGCTATACATCAGAAACATATAGGGAATCAAAGTCTCCCCAATCCTAATGTAATTATTATTCCTTTATAATAAAATATCTCTTTTCATCAAAGTAATATCAAATTCACTAAAAACCAAGTATTTTCTTCACTAATCAGAGTACATTTCAATTTCAAAATGTATTAATTTGATTTTGATACCAACTTTAGATTGACTGTGAATAATCCTGCCCATACCACCTTTCTGTATTTTCCTCTTAAACTGATACTTCAGTGACTTTTTAAACAATGAAATTTAGAATTTTAAAAAATATCTGCCCACACTATAAGTAATCTGTATTATTGTAAAATACAGTATGTTTTGAATTGTAAGATTTAGGATTCAATACAGTAGTCTGACATAAAGCTGATAAAGTATCATTAGCTAATGAAATTGCCATTATCTATTGGAAGGAAAATATGGTGCTTTAAGACATACAAAGCAGTCTAGAAATATCAACAACTAAATGGCTGTGTTTTCTAAAGTAACCCAGAACTGAGAATAGAAGCTTTGTAAACTTATCTGTGGATGACAACAAGTATTTATTAATTCTAAATGAGTACAAAATGTATAAGTGATGTAGTTTGTAATTGCAAACTGAATTAGACTTTTTTCCCTGATAGATGTAAGTATGTCAAAAAGCTAAGATGAATGATCAACACAACCTCTATTGTATTCAATCAACAGAATGAATGCCTTTACACAAAGCTGTGCAAAATATTGCTTGCTGTAATCAATATAATGAAAAACAAAAATAATATTGTGCAAGTTACATCAGTGTAAAAGATGTGTTGCCCAGGGCAATATACTATAACGTTTTAACAAAATATTAAGTTACTTTACTAAGTATTATTAAGTTATTTTACTAATACAATTCTATACCTGTTCCATAAAGATGACAAAAACATTCAATATTAGATAAAGAGCGAAGCAGTACTGTAAATAAATCACTTAGTTTAAACTATACATACATGCAACTACAACTTGAGAGCGGTTTTTCTGGACATTTTCTTCCTTATGGGCAATGGTAGTTGCATTAGGCTCAGCTTGATATGCACAAAGTGCTTCCCACTCTTTCTCTAGACGATTCTTGTTTTTCAAATGATCTTCCATGTAGGCCTGAAATTAAGAAGTCTAATCAGAAGTAGCAGGCTTAACATATTCAATACTTGCTATTTCAATCAACAAGTGAATGAACTGTAAAGTAGAGAGCCAAACTGGTCTAGTAGTTAAGGTGCTGGTTTGGAAACCAGCAGACTATGAGCTCTAGTCCTGCCTTCTGCATGGAAACCCATTAGGTGACTGGGCTAGTCACTCTCTCTCAGCCAACAATTAAGGTTTGGGTCACAAGCCAGTCAATCAGTTCTTATTGTAGCCCGTGGCAGACCTGCACTTGCTGGGAAATTCTAGGAAGGAAAAAAAAAGTGAATGAACTGAAAAGTATTAAGGAACTTTGATTTGAATGCAAAGAAGTACTAGGCTGGTTGCGACTGCTGTTTACTGATTTGACCAAGATAGAAACATAATAAATGAATGAGTGTTTTGACTGACCAGATACTTAATAGACTTCAGTTTCCTGAAAAGCAGTCTATATGGCAAACACTGACCTTCAGAGGAGTGTCAAAATGAGCTTGTGATATTGCAGTAGAAGGCACTTTTAAATTGTGTTTTGTTTCTCCTTGGATTTTACATGGAATATTGAATCATTTTCTTTATTACAGTGAGATCAAAATTCCAGGATTTATGTAGGATTGAATCCATAATGCTCAACCTTAGACACCATAGTAAAAGGAAGGAAAAGAAAAATAGGCTTGAATTTTTCTTTCTAAGCTTTTGTATGATTTAAAATTAGATGGTTGCATGTGCAAGCATTTAATGGTGTCTGTCAAATCAGCAAAAAATAGCGCAAATAAGAAATTTATCATGATCAAGCAAAGCAAAAAGAAGGAAAAGGTTCCACGTATTCAGTTGCAACAACCATAATTTCTCTGAAAAATTTCAGAGCAAAAAGAAGATATTTATATGAACTGTAAGATCATCATAAGAAATTCCTTTTCTTAGTTAGGATCGGTCAAATCTAAATAATTATTGCTAAAAACATTAGTGTATTTCAATTTCATTTATATACTGTATATTTTCTAAAGAGCGATTAAGACAATGCTAAGATATTTCAAATGAGCAACAAATACACAATTTTATATGAAGAATATTTTTGCCCAATGGTCAACTTTGACATAATGAGTTGTACTGCTGGTCTTGTCATAGCACATAAATACACCAGTGAACTTCAGAGACAAACAATTTATCAAACAAGTCAGGTGTATGAAAGGAAAAGGGAAGAGAATCTTGCAGAAGGAAGGAAGGAAGGAAGGAAGGAAGGAAGGAAGGAAGGAAGGAAGGAAGGATAAAAACAGCAGAAAAACTAATCAAAACACTGAAAAAAGAGCAAGGAAAAATGAAAAAAAGGAAAATAGAGAGGAAAATAACAGAAATCAAAGGAAAGAGCTAGAATGATTAAATAAAGAGATGCAGTACTTAGGGAGGGAAAAGAACGGTTTCATTTTTAATACTCTCCAGCTCCCAATGTACTAGCTACAAATTTGATGAGTTCCCCTACTATTCCTTCATCTCAATCGTTTATGAAGATATTGAACAGTACTAGGCTTAAAACAGAACTTGGAGTATCCCACTGCTTACTTCCCTCTATGTCAGTGATTCTCAACCTTTCTAATGCTGTGACCCCATAATACAGTTCCCCATGTTGTGGTGACCCCCAAGTGGGTGTGGCCACCAATAAGAGGGAGTAAGACAGCTAGGGAAAAGGGAAAAAAATGGCGGACAGCATGGTTTGGCAACCCCCATGAAATGGTCATTCGACCCCAAATGGGGTCCCGACCCACAGGTTGAGAACCACTGCTCTATGTAGATGTACGATAATTCCATTAAGGATTACATGTTGAATGTGGTTTGTTAGCTAGTTACGAATCCATCTAATGGTGAAGCTATCTATCTCAAAGTTTTCCAACTTACTAAGAAGTAGGTTGTGGTTTACTTTGTCAATTGCCTTACTGAAAAACAAGTATATTATGTTCACACTTTTTCACCAGTCCACTTAATAACTTATTTTTATTCTTAAATTAAAGGCACTACAGGATGTCAAAGAGAGGGGAGGTTTAGGTTTCCCAGATTGGGAGCTATATTACCAAGCAGCGGCCCTAACATGGATTAGAGACTGGATAACCTTAGAAAATAAAAGATGTTTACATTTAGAGGGTTATGACCTCCAGCAGGGCTGCCATGCTCACATATGGATGGGGCAAAGCAGAAACCACCAATATTTTTTAAGGCATAAGGTTCGGCAAGAATTAATAAGAAGAATATAGTTAAACATCAATATTATACAAAGATCCCGGCTTGGCTATCACCATTGGAGGCAGTCACATACCCCAATTTGTACAGGATAGACAAAGCTATTATATATAAAGACATCTTGACAGAAGAAGGTTATTTAAAACAAAAACAAGAGCTAAAACAACAAGGAATAGACATGGAGTGGTGGTCTTATCTCCAGATACAAGCAAGATACATGAAGGATAAGCAAGAATGGGGAATTAACAGACAAGATACAGGGTTAGATAAAATACTTCTAGGCCCAGAGGAAAAACAAATAAAGAATATTTATAAACACCTGTTGGAACATAAGCTATATGAGGAGCAGGTTAAAGAAACAATGGTGACATGGGCAATAGTTTTAGGATATAATATAAATAAGGATCAATGGCAGCAAGTATGGGAGCAAAATAACAAAATCACAGTGGCGACATCATATAAAGAAAACCTGTATAAGATGGTTTACAGATGGCATCTCCCTTCGGCCAAGTTAGCCAAAATGTATAACAGATATACATCTAAATGTAACAAAGAAAAGGGCAGCTTTTTTCATGTATGGTGGACGTGTAAAGAAGCACAGGTGTACTGGTGTATGGTCTGGGAATGGGCAATAGAAATGACTAGGTAAAACATTCAATACAAACCTGAGACATTAATTAAGAATACTAGAGAAAAATGTAAATAAAGAGGACACATATTTAATTATCCATGTGGTTACAGCAGCAAGGATACTATTTGCTCAAAAGTGGAAAGCAATGGAAGTACCGAGTGGGGAAGCACTAATAAAGAAAATTATGTATTGCGCAGAACTAGATAGGATAACTAAAAGATTAAAAAATCAGGAAGAAACAGAATTTTATCGAATATGGAATAAATTTTATAGATGAGGGAAAAAAATGGAGGTCACAGTAAAGAGATAAGTTGAGATAGAGACCAGAAATGTATAGTTGTATATAGATATATTATATGTAATTAATGTACAATATGGACTGAGATATCAGTCAAAGACGATTTACCATGTTCAATGTTTTTAATCCTTTTTTTCTTTGTACTTAATAAAAAAACTTTTTTAAAAAAATAACTTATTTTTATTCTTGAGTATTGAATTGGCCAATGAGGTTATGGCATTGCTTTGACCCAACATAGTAACTGATTAGCACACATTTATACAGAAAATCTTTATTTCAGGCAAACTGATTGTATCTTAGTTATAAAATAAAAAGAGTAAGATAGTACTTGTTGTTCATTTACTTATTATATTTATATACTGCCTGTTGGGAGCTCCAGCATACAGAGTTCTCTCCTTCTGTTCTCCCCTTAGCTCCCTTTATGAGGTAGGCTGGATTGAGAGACACTGATTGACACTGAGTTACCTACTAAGCTTTCATGGCTCTGGACTAAACATCAATCATCCTTGTATCACTCCAACACCATAAACACAATAATTTGTTGGCTCTTAATTTTAAACCAAAGGTATTTCTATGGGAACAAAATACTATCAGATCCATGTACTGATCATCATATGGAAATTTGAGCTCATTTATGGACAAGAAGATAAAAATTGAGGCATCTGAAGAAAAAGAGAATGTAATAGAAATGCAGAATTAATGCTAACAAAGTATTTTGGATTATAAGATTTGTTTCAATAAAAAGAGGGGAAAAAGCTGGTTGTGGAATACCATAATAATAGATATGTCTTTGGTGTTTCTAAAATACAAAGCATAGGGTTATTTTGATGTAAAATGATTACCCCATTAGAATAAATGACATTTGGCTCACAAAGCAATATATAAGAATGCTTTTCAAAGATTATGTAACAATACACTGTGAAAACAAAAAGTTACACAAGATAGGCAGCATTTAATGTATATCTGGTTTTCACTGGCCCAGTAAGTCTCCTACAGTTATACAGAATCCAATTTCATTACAAATGAAGACTTCTGAGAACACCTAGATATGCCTTTGAAATCCTACATTTGTTTATATAGTAAAGAAGGTTGCTTGACAGGCTTAATATATCTGTGTTTGTGTTTTCAAGAGCCAAATAACAAAACCTGATAATGCATCTTAGTATTGTCCTGATAGTAGAAGACTCACCTGCTGAAAAAAGGCATTTTGGTACCAGACACAATACTTAAGGCCAATTCACACATACAAATCAGCTACTTCAGAATGTTGAATTGAGTTCATACTTATGGCCTTCCTAATTCAGTCCTGTCAGTTCATATATTCATCAGTCCCTTAGGTTAGTACTATTAAAAAGATTACATACAATCTCTGTGTATGAACAATGCCATCTACAGGTTTCAACTCCCAAATGTTATGCTTCCACACTGCTTGGAAACATCCTTACATGGGTTTCTCCAAACTGCCAATAATTTATGCCTTGAGTTTACATAAGAGTAACATTAGGATACAGGATCCTCAATGGATTAAGTCATTGGGCTCATAATCCATTCTGTCTGCCACATAAAATTGTACTGAAGATTCAAATATTTTCCTTTTATAGTAATACAGAAATCTGTATTTATAAGATTTCTTCAAATTCTAGAAAAAAGCTGGAATAGATTTCTCTTATTGACAATAATGCAGGTGAATATACACTGATGTTTAGCATTCTTTACCTGGCTCATGAACTGCAGAGAAAAGAAAAGGAATACAATCAAATGTATTGATTGTCTGAGATACAGATGATTTTACTAATAAGCCAAGAAAGTTGGTAATTTTGA